TTTATGGGATTCATGTTCACCATTTGCATGAATGCTGTATATGCCAGTGCCTCCTTTATTGAGGTCAAAGTCAGGGGAACAATCTGTGTAGCAATAGCTAGGTTATGAGCAGAGTTTGTAAGCTTATTTATGGTGTGGCTGCCTTTCTCTTTAAGTAGTGCAACTGATTCTTTCTTGGTGCAAGTTTGAAGAAATTTAAGTTAATGATTGCCTGGGAAGAGGGACACATGGAAAGTAGAAGTTCTTTAATTATTATATCAGTAGCTTCGTGCTCTAAGCCAATTTCTCTCCCAATCTCATGGTCTATTTGTAAGGTGAAGGACCTTTTCAATCTATTTTTCCACTTCGTGCTTTAAATGTTTTGTTGGAGATGTGATGGTCTGCAAAGCTTCAAATTTGGTTTGTGAATTTGATGCTGGCTAATTTTCTTCTATTTTCTAAGGAGGTTAGGCTGCACTTATCTTTAATATTATTTGTGGATGAAACAACTCCAATGATGATTTTAGAGGCCCTGAATTGAACACTGTTGATCTTTTCCTTTACAGAAGATGAAACTGGTGCCCATATGGGTGCAGCATATTCAAGAGTGAACCTAACCAAGTGTTAAGAATATGTGTTAAGAAGAGTCTTTGGTCTTGATCCCTAAGCTGTACCACATAATCTTTTGTGCTGCATCTTGGGGATCACCGTTCTCTTCTGAGTAAGTATTTGATCAGTGCATATACTGTTTAATATTCTATTTGTCAAATTTTCCATTTGCTTTTGATAGCGTTACTGAATGATTCATTATTATTTTTCATGCAGTAACTGTGAACTAAAGTTATCTTTGATAAAACATCCATTTACTACAGTCATCTACTTGTCTACTATATCATAGTCTGTGACGAAACTAATGTCCAAATTTATAACAAGATTCTATCCTTGTATATTGTATTTTTTTCTTAAAATTTTCTTTTGCATTTCTATTTTTCTGTGCTTTTCGGCTAATAGTAATAAATGTACTTATCTGGATGTTCTAAATCAGAATGTACCTGACAAGTCGATTTTCTCCCCTTATCAGTTCCTTCGTAATTTTTTCCAGTGTAAAATTCTTATCCTTCAACCTATAAATCAGCTGTACTATCCCAAGTATTTCTGAGGTAAACTTCGAATTGCTTGAAAGGCTTTAAACAGGTCTGCTGTGTCTAGCTTCAGCCAGCTTATTCACCATCATCTTTATCCTCACTATGAATAAATCCATTTCTTCATCTGATGAATACCTAATACTAAAAAACTCACTCAGTAGCTGAATTACTCTTGCTGTTGTTTTTCAATTCAAACTGCTTCTGTAAAACCTTTACTGCTCAAAAATTCCTTTTACATCCGTATTACATTTGAATAAAATTGTAATATTAACCATTTTTAATAGTCAGTTAGGTATGTTAATCCATTGCTAAGCAGAGTTAGAATTATATTGGTACTTTCTAATTATGTGCATCTCCATTCCAAAAAGTTGCGAACTGTTGGGGACTAAATTTTACTAAGCTAAGATGGAAAAGGCAACAACTATCATAAAAAATGGTAGTATATTAAGAATGACATAACCAACAACCACTTAGCAGTATTTAAAATGTAAGAAACATACATAATAAAGCATTTACATTTTTTTTTTCTGCTTAGCTCTTGCCATGTATACAGTGATCTATTTTAGCTTAAAAAATTCAGAGAATTGCTGAAAGTTAGCATCATGGACAACTTGGCACTGTGCACACTGTCCGTTTGTATACAGTAATCTATTTCTGCTTTTAAAAGCATCAGAGATTAAACAAATTTGGAATCTGCACAAGTTTAATAAAAAAATAAAATCTATAAAATGTCCAGTCCATAAAATTTGATCATTTAAAAAATACATCTTCATGGGATATGAATTTCTGCATTCGCTACTGTGTAACAAAATGTCATATTTTTGAAGAAATATATTGCTTTTCTTCCACAGAGATTCCACAGTCCCATTATCTTTCTTCCAAGAAAGGGAGAAAAATTGTTTTTGAATGCAAGAAACACAAACACTAATAAAAAAAATGAGCATTGAATTTGTAAGGAGAAATAGCTCTCATCTGCTGTGCACGTGCGTACCGGACATGCCACATAAATATATTTTGGCAACATCATGTGTTGCTTCATGAATGCTTTCCAGATGGATACTGATAATCAAAAGGTGCCATTATTTTAGAGTTCTGTAGTTTGAAATAAATTTAAAAAATTATGTTAGACTATAAATTTTACTGTCAATTAAATACCCTAAATAAGTGAATAACATTTAAATATTTTGCTATACTCAATTTAATTTAAATTATTCATTGCAAAAGCTGAAAGATTAAGTCATTCGATGAAGAGAAACCAGAGCATAAATTATTCATTGTGTAAAACTATTAAAAAAAAGTTCATGACAAAAAATATTTGCACAAATACAGTCAAAAGTCTTTAATCCGGATGTCTATAATCCGGACCTACAAACTTTCTGCTACAAACTGCTACAAAAAAAGCTACAAACTTTCTGCGCATGCGTCAATGCATAATGCGTTAACACATGCGCATAATACCTTTACGCATGCACATAATGCCTTTACGCATGGACATAATACATCTACGCATGTGCGTTCAATGTATAACGGACAGTATAAACTAAGCTAAAATTATTTAATTATCTATTTCAGTTAATGCTGCAGATTGCATTGTTCCTTAATCTTCTAACTGGATCTGGCTTATTAATTTTTTGCAGACTTTTAGAGCAATTTTATAAAAGTAAGCTTGAACTTTCGATTATGTCAAAAAGAATTTCCAATTCTGGAGCTACCAAAGGATCTACAAAGTGAAAGCATGTTCTGATGTCCATAAACCAAAAAGTGGAATTGCTGCAAAAAATGGATAAAGGCATGTCCTTTGATTCTCTAATCATTCTGAAATATGTTTATCGATTTCACGATGCTCTGCGGGGGGGGGGGGATGACGCTGTGTGCAATGAACTGGAAATTGATCTGTCAGCACTATACTTATCTTCAGGGCAGATGCTTTTATTTTATTCGGCTTATAATTCCTTACTAAATGTAGTATTTCAACTCTATGTACTCCGTCTTTGATATGATTTAAATCAATTCCTCGTCATTATAAATATAAAAAATGCACATCAAATAGTTTTCTGGTTGCAATTTTCTAATTTCGACTATGCGTAATGTATGCTTTATGCATGCGCACATTGAAAGAAATGTTTAATAAAGTAAACAAATAAATATAAAGCTTTTTGTTTTGTAAATTTTGATACCCTTTAGATCATAATTGCTCTATGTTTCATAAATTATGGTTTTATATTTTTAATTTTATAATTTTTGCATGCCATCTTCCCAGATTTAAACTGATGATCTATAATCCGGAAAAATCTGATAATATGGAATCGCCGAAGTCTGGATTAAAGACTTTTGACTGTATAATAATTATATAATTTTTACAAGATGCTTATAATTACTACTTTGAGCTTCCAAGTAATAGCAGCCTATGTATAAATTAGTTTACTTTTTGGAAATTTAGGTTTTATTTAAAAAGGTTATTTATTTATTTCATGGAAATTGCTACGAGGGAAACTTCATTTTGTTTTAAAATGAGATTACTTATGTCACAAAGCTGAAAAGTCACAAAGTCATCATTGAGTTTAGAGAGCATTCACGAACTCACTGACAACTAGTTTTTCTCAAAGCTAACACATGAAAGGCAACACCTATTTTCAAAATGGTGATGCTCTAAGAATCCATACAAGAGTGATCAATCAATAAATTTTTTTTAAAGGAAACATCAGTAAGAAAACATTTACTTTATTTGAGAAATTCTTCTGTTTTTCATTTTTCTTCTTCCCATGTGCTCTGTTATTTTCTCTCTTAAAAACATCAAGCAGCTCCTCAGATTTGTCATTGTTTGCATGCAAAACAGACATGTGCTACATATGCACTGACTTGTGTTGCCATAAAAATACTTTTTGGTGACATTGTAGATGGACACATAACTATTTTGACAACATACTGCTTTACCTCATTCATGAATTCTTTTATACAACTTTTTAATGAGAGTGTGTGTAATCAGAATGTGCCATATAAATTGTAATATATAAAAGACTTACTTTTGAGTCATATTGGGGCAGATTATGCATCGATAAATGCTTTTAAAAACTTTGCTTTAGTACTAATTATGTATTTAAAAAATTCTTAGCATTGTACTAATTATATATTTAATTTTCTGTATTTTTAAGAAACTATTAAAATTTAAACTATTAGAATATATCCTCAAATTTACCTTTTTTTTTTTTTTTTTTTTTTTTTTGGTATGCCAGCCAGTTTAATTTTCTTCCCAAGATTTAGAAATTCATCAAAATATAATTAAAAAATGAGGCTTCATTAATAATTCTCTAGGCTGCTTCTTGAAAGACCAAAAGAATTACTAGCTTTATTAAACAATTGTTTTGTCTGGGTTTTAATTTGTCTCTGATTTCAAGATCAATTTTAAGCTTTTGCATAATGTTACTTGCTTTCTTCATGCTAGGTAGCAAACCATAATTGGGTTTTTAAAATTCAAACTTAATATGTTTTAAAGAAAATTGTGTAGTTTTAATAGTTTTTAGTGAAGTTCTCTTTCATACCTCTTGTTTTCTTTATATACCATATCTAAAAAATGGAACTTAACATTTACTTATAGTTGATATTTTTTGTTAATTTACTTATAGTTGATATTTTTTGTTAATGTTTTACTGTATAACATAAGTTTTGTACATAAGTTTAGTCTATAATATTTGTCATAATTTAATTTTGGGTTTTAATGAAATTTTGAGTGTACGTTTTGGATTTAGTATATTTTTACTTGAAAAATATAGTATCTCAGATGCCTTATTTTTTGCATTAGAAATAGTAAAGGGCTAAAAAATCCTGAGTTGGATATGAGAAATACTAGTAAAAAAGTCTTATGTATTGTTTAACTAGGTTTCTGACAAACAAGAAATGACACCATTACATTGTGCTGCAAATTACAATAGTCCTGAAGTAGTGGAACTGTTACTGAATGCCAGTGCTGATCCAGAAGCTAATGATGAAAATTTATCAACTCCTTTGCACTTGGCTGCTAATACTGGTAACAAGGAAATAGTTCTCCTCCTACTTGAAGCAGTTGAAAAGCATAATGAGAGGAAGCTTAAGGAGGTAAGAAAGAGCTTCGGACTGTTAATAAACTGCAGCCATATCAAATGAACCTATTTATTCCTTATAAATTGACCTCACTAAATTTTTTAAATATGTGCCTCTGTTTTTCTATGTTTTTTCTCTTGATTAAGGCTATTCCATCATTGACGTGTTATTCTATACCTATCCAATAATTTTTATATTTCATAGCTTGTTTTGTTTAAATTTAGGCATTCTGTATGATTTTCTATGTTGATTTGTAAATGTGGCAAATTTGTGTTTTTGTTGATATTCCACATTTTTTCTACTTCATGCATTTTTTCGTTGAGGAATATGGTAAAATTAAACTTTCTCCAGTTTATAACATATGAATTCTAATAAATCCCTATTTATAATGTAAAAACAATTCAAGAGAAAATTTACTCTCATGTATAGAAATTCTATGTCATATGGAACATTTTCTTTAGTATCATTTCAATCTTTATCCACTTATCCTGTTTTAATTTAAAAGATTCGTATAGAAGCATTATCTTAGAAACTTGTGTATGGCACTGTATTTGTTTCTACAGTATCGTGACTAAGTTTCCTTTCTCTTAAAAGGTTCCATAAAAAGAGTATTATTAATATATCATATTGAAAAATTAGTGAGTTCGGACGTCTATAATCCGGACCTCAAAGCTACAAACTTTCTGCGCATGCATCAGCGCATAATGCAGAGTTGCCAACTCTCCCGATTTAGGCGGTAGACTCCCGATTTTCGACCGCTCTCCCGCCAACCCGATTTACAATATATTTCTGTCGATTTTTTCTTATTCTTAAAATTTCTCACGATTTTTATGGAACTTGGCTTAATGCTTTGTTATATGAACAAAAAAAAAAAAAAAAAAAAAAAAAAAGTGATTTTGGACGTCTGAAAGCAATTGAAATTTCTCTAGCTTATATCTAAAACAAAACCTTGCGAATTAGATAACTTCTGCTTTGTGAGTGAGAGCATATATGTATCCAGAAAGGTCGTTCTCCAGTTCTCCAATGGCCTTCGTGCTCCACTGTGTGTCATGTGGCATATGTTAGCCAATGAGGACAAACCAAACTGTTATTTGGATGTTCTTTAGTTATTTCGGTCATTTTGTCCTGAGTTGTGTGAGTACACATGCCTTCGGGAAATAGTTTTAGAAATTATCATCTTTTGTTATGTGTCTGTGAGAAAGGTGAAATACTCGTGTACGTTTCAAAAATCTTACACAGTTGACTTTCCTTCCATTATTTCCTCAAGGAAATGTAATAAATTTGCAATGTGTACCGCCTGTCATTGCGATTTTTTTTATTTCGCATGGTGGAAGGGCAGATGTTCTCAAACATCTGCGTACACAAAAACACAAGGACAACATGAGTTGTTTTGAAAAAAAAACGGAAAATTAAATTTTTCTTCAGAAACAGAGGACCAAAAAGTCATTAATGCAGAATGTCTGTTCTCTGCCTTTTTACTGGAGCACAACCTAGCGCTGAATGCATCGGATCACGCTGCAGCTTTATTTAGAAAAATGTTTCCCGATAGTGAAATCGCTAAGAAATACTCAAGTGCAAGGACCAAAACAGGTGCAATTGTTAAAGAAATGGGTTTGAAAATAAATCTTCAGTTATTGATTGCATTAAAACAGCTCCGTTATGCCTCTCTATGGATGGAAGCAATAATACCAATTCAAAACTGTATCCAATTGTTGTTTCTTTTTTTAATCCAGAGTCTTCAGAAACTGAGTGCAGTTTACTTTCTGACCTCACTTTAGAAGGACATTCGACAGGCTTTAATATAGCACAGCTAATTATTAAAACTTTAAAAGAAAATGAAGTCCCTCTGGATAATTACTTAGCGCTTGGTGCCGATAATACACCAGTATTGGTAGGCTTGAATACTGGTGTTGTAGGCATCTTAGGAAAATTCAGATTTGCAGATTATGAGGTGCACCTGTCACCCCTTAAATTTAGCAGCTGAAAAAAGGGAAGCTCTTTACTAATAAATGTGGATGAACACATTGTTGATATTTATTATTATCTTGAAAGGAGTTCTAAAAAGAAGGAAAAATTGAAACAGTTCCAACAGCTGCATAACAGCAGTTTACAATTAGAGAACTTGGATGAAGTTATAAAATCAGCTAAGATTGACACCCAGTGGAGCTTAATTAGAAAACTGAAAGATGCTGATGGAATTTTGAAATATAGTGAACTGTCTAGAATTATGTTGGCCATCTTGACAGTTCCCCATAGTAATGCAGAGTCTGAGAGGATTTTCAGTGTTATTGCGAAAACGAGGACTAAATTTAGATCTAATATTCGTGATGACACATTAGAAAAACTTTTATTAGCGAAAGCAGGCCTACGTGGCAATTGCTATGAACAAAATTATGACGTTTCTTTCTTAAAGAAAGCAAAATCTGCCACTGTTTATAACATTTGTACGAAAACTGATTAAATTTTTTTTTTCTTTCGTTTTCTTAAACGATTGCAAGTAATAAAAATGTTTTTTATGTGTAAGGTATTTTTGTGTTTCTTGCATTTAAGAATTAGTTACTATTTGAAATTAATTCATTATTAAAAACTATATTTTCATCATTTAAAGTCTTTTTAACATTGTGAAAAATCTCCCGATTTCTTAAAAAAAGTCTCCTGATTTTTGAGTGTAATAGGTTGGCAAGTATGGCATAATGCATTAATGCATGCGCACAATACCTTTATGCATGCACATTCAATGTATGACGGACGGTATAAACTAAGCTAAAATTATTTAATTATCTATTTCAGTTAATGTTGCAGATTGTGTTGTTCCTTAATCTTCTAATTGGATCCGGCTTATTATTTTTTGCAGACTTTTAGAGCAATTTTATAAAAGTAAGCTTGAACTTTCGATTATGTCAAAAATAATTGCCAATTCTGAAGCTACCAAAGGATCTACAAAGCGAAAGCATGCTCCGATGTCCATCAAACAAAAAGTGGAATTGCTGCAAAAAATGGATAAAGGCATATTCTTTGATTCTCTAATCATTCCGAAATAAGTTCATCAATTTCATGCTGGTCTGCAGGGGGGGACGACACGTCACACAATGAACTGGAAGTTGATCTGTCAGCACTATCCTTATCTTCAGGGCAGATGTTTTTATTTTATTCAGCTTATAATTCCTTACTAAATGTAGTATTTCATCTCGATGTACTCCGTCTTTGATATGATTTAAGTCAAATTCCTTGTCATTACAAATGTCACGAATACACATAAAATAGTTTTCTGGTTGCAATTTTCTAATTTCGACGTAATGTATGCTTTACGCATGCGCGTAATAAATTGCATAATGTATGCTTTACGCATGCGCGCGTTGAAAGAAATGTTTAATAAAGTAAACAAATAAATATAAAGCTTTTTTTTTTGTAAATTTTGATACCCTTTAGATCATAATTGCTCTTTATTTCATAAATTGTGGTTTCATATTTTTAATTTATAATTTCTGCATGCCATCTTACGAGATTTAAACTGATGATGTATAATCCAGAAAAACTGATAATCTGGAATCGCCGAAGTCCCGACGAGTCCGAAATAAAGACTTTTGACTGTACCAGCTATTAACTAACTTGTTAAGCTATTTCTAAAGTTAATGAATTTGTGTAACATTAATTTTAAAAAACTGAACTGGAATTGATGAATTTTAATATTTTATTTTATCAGTATATTGAAGAAAAAAATATTAGTGGTAATACTGCCCTTCACCTTGCTGTAACTAAAGGACATTTAGAAGTTGTCAAATTGCTTCTCAGCAAAGGTATTTATATGAGTTTTAACATCTGAAATATATATAAATATACATATATGCCTTTTTAGCACTTGCTTTTTACAACAGTATAGTGTTTTTCATTTGTCTTTTAGGTCTTGTATTTCTATAAATGAGGTGCAAATTCTATGAAATTGTAATTTTTAATTACAGTGTCTCACAAAAATGATCAAGCACAACAATATTTTTACTTTTTTAAGTAATTGGAGAAAAGCTTTGCAGTATTGAATACATTGCTAATAAAGAATATTTTATATACAACCTAAATTTAATGTAAAAACTAGATAGGGATGAATGCAAAGAAGTCTGAACAAGATGTGACACCTATAATCAATAAAATTCACTAATCTGCATAGCCCTTGGTCCCAAGGTATACAGATGATTATACAGAGTTTACAGAATTAAAGTCTTCTGTATAAAGCTGTAAAAATCAGATTCATGGAAAGTTGTCTAAAACCATTATTTAAAATCATTACAATGGAGTGTTATGAGGTAAATACAATCTGAATTTCTGTATGAAAAGAATGGCTAAACTTGGTTTCAGTCATGATCTTGAGTCTTGTAGCCTTCATATGTTTAGCAAATAACAGAAAAAACATAGGTACCCAATGATTTGCTTCTAAAGAACATATATAAACAGTACCTATGACAAAGGAACAGATTGTTAGGAAATTGAGTGGAATATTCACAAACAAATATTTGCAGAGATAGGGTGACTATGTTGAAAAACAATGCGATTCTGTATGATTTTGAAGTATAATATGCCACTTGATAAAATTTTATCTGAAATAATAAAGTGTAACACATTTGTATTTAGCAGAAATTATATTTATAGTACCTGTAATTTAAATTCCAAATCAAAACATTTATGAATTTGTAATCCATTGAAAATGAAATTTAATATTTTAAGTGTGTCCAAGATTCAGATGAAAATAAATGAGTAAAATACAATGAAGTAGAAAAGGCTTATAATGACATAATGAGAGTTTTTTATTTTGTGCACCAGCATAATTAACAACAACAACAAAAAAAAAAAAAAAAGTGAATGAGCTATTTATAAAATTCGGATGAATTTGGTTTAACTAAGCTCTGAAATCTAAAACATGCTTTATATTTGAAAATATATTATACACTTTCAATTTTTATATGTGTGTGTTAATTTAATAAAAAATATATTTAAAGGAACTGTAAACTACTGATATTTCTTCTACTGAAATGAAGTTGTATAAAAATGTATATTTTTTGCATATTTGCTATGAGAAGTTAGTAATCAGTTCTTTCGTTTTGCACCATTGTAATAATCAGAGATGTCCATTGGCAATCATGCGACTAAAGTAACTGAATGCTAGTAAATTTATCTTGGATTAGATTCTAAATAAGTAAATTGCAGATTTTCTTGAGGGAAAGGGGGTGGTGTGGAACAAGAGTATTTTTTTTTTTAAGGCTCTCCCTTAAAGTACCCTTTCTAAGAAAGATTCTTAAAGGCTCTTTGTAAATATTGTGTCTTATTTGCTTAAATTGCTTCATAGTTTAAGATGATAAGAGGAGTTATTTTCTACATTTTGCTTTCTTATTTCAAGCTGCTAATGTGAAAGTTACCGTGGATGATGATTCACAGCCTCTGCATTTAGCTGCAGTTTCCAGTAATGTGCAAATTGTAAAATGCTTGATTGAACATGGAGCTGAAGTAAATTGCCTAAACAGTTATGGAGAAACTCCTCTGCATAAAGCAGCTGCATTTAATGCTGGGGATGTAATTGACTTTCTTCTTTCGAAGTAATTCCAACTCTATTGTCAGTTCTTTATATGAGCATTAAATAGTGATTTAAAACTTAATTTATTAATGTTTTAAAATTCATTACAAGATCTATGCAAAAATTTTAAATGTAAAAGGGTTAACTGTATCATCGTATAAATATGGTAAATTTTTATTTTGTATTATACTCAAAAATTGTAAATATATAATTGATAAAATATATAAAATATATAATTGTATAAAGGAGATAAAATATATAAAATATATAATTGTATAAAGGAGATATATAAAATATATAATTGTATAATAAAAATGTGTTTAAAATTTATATAATAATCATCAGTTTAGAAAGTTCTTCACAATGGCATCCTTTTAAGCCAGATAACTCTTATATGCTTTAGCATAAGATATGAAACATTTAAAAAGATAAAATAGAATTATGTAATTTCTTCTTAAAAATTAAGCCTGTATATAAAAAAAGTAATGACCTTGTGTAACCATTTTTTTTTATACAAACATTTGCTGAAAATTATCCCTGCAGTTTTTTTTTAACTGATAGGCTTTTTCTTTCTCTTCTGCTTAATGTTTGAGAAATTGGGTGAACACTTATTTTGAAAACTCATCTGGATGCTTTTTTAAAATTAAAACTATGTCTAGAAATAATTATATCTGAAATAAAATAGGTGTAAAGTATAAAATTCTGAAAACTTTTTAATTAACAGTTTATGTTTGATATTCAAAATTTCATAAATGGCCTGAAAACTGAACACAGTGCAAATTTTACAAAATTATAATAAAGAAAGAAAATGGAATGTATGTAGCAGACATAATAAATTGTCCATTTGGACTATTCATAAAATATTAAGAAATGTGTGTTGTTTAATAAATACTTTTGAATACACATTCAAAAGCTATTAATACAGCTAATAATAATAATAATAATAATCATTATTTTTTTATTATTATTATTAATAGCTGTAAGTTGTTTCAAAATTTAATGCTATTTTCATTTAAAAAAATTTTTTTGTTTGCATTGTGAATGAATATTACTTGATGAATTTTATTTAAATATTTAGCCATAATGATATAATAATGAAAATCATTTTGATTTTTATAATTCCCAACCAATGCAATTCCCTTGTTTAAAAAAATAAAAATTATCCATGTATGAGTGGTATTTAAAGTGATTTCAAAATATATTAAGATGAATACATATATTGTTTTATTCTACTTTCATTAAATAATGATGTATTGTTTTATTTGTTAACCATCTTATGTCTTAAACGTGAGCAAAAGTACCATTTTACTTTTCTGAAACAGCTGGGCATTTAATTTTTATGCAAATTAAATAATTTTTTTATATAAATTATACTGTATTTCGTAAAATATATCGCATTTGCTGCTCTTTCCCAGAATATTTTGGTACTATTTATTATACTTGTTCACATGAGCTGTAATAGAAATTAATAAATGATTAAATAAATATGGATTTTTTTAATTTAAAGTTAAGTAATATGTAGAAAATACACTTTGTGGGTATTTTCTGATATTTTAATAGGTCCAAAAACAATTTTCAAAGTAATATATTAAATAAAATTTTGCTTTTGTTTCTTTATTAGTATATTCCTTTTTATTTAAAGTGGAGCTGACATTGAGAAGAGAGATAATGCTCATTTTACTCCTCTTTTGATTGCTGTGGCTGAAGGGCATGTAGAAGCTATAATAACCCTATTAAAAGCAAATGCTAATGTCGAAGTTGTGGACAATATGGATCGTACTGTTGTTTTTTGGGCTGCTCAGGAAAACCATCCTGAAGCTCTGATGGTACAAAAATGTTTTATATTTTTAACTATGATTTTCTTCCTAATAATGCCTGTATATAAGAAAGGATCATTATTAAAGTAGTCTTATTTAAGGCCCTCTGAAGTGCCTTATAGTGATCCTAATATTGCAAACAATTTGTAGAAATACATTATACATCATATAGAAATGATATCTAGAAAAGAAAGGATAAATTCCAAATTTAACTAACATGAAGCTGATATATTGAACAAAAGTATAACAGTTTTGGAAATGGAGAAAAATGAATTAAAAAAAATTAGGTTAGATTGGATTAATTGATTAAGGCAAAGTAACTTGAGGGTTATTTGCCTGATTCAAGAAAAAGAGAAAACATGAACTCATTTGTATTTTGTGTTGAAACTCTCTGTTTTGTGTTGTATTTGAATTCATTTCTATTTTCATTGTTGTGTTGCGGCCAATCTCACTTGTCTGATTAAATCAGTATACTGTATACGTGACAGAATGGCTTTGCTCAGTTCCACCTGAATTTTGAAGGAGGGACTTCAGAAAATGAGTCTGAGGGTCTTCCACCCCTCTTTTCCTATCACCAAACTGCTTGAGAGGAATTCTGGCTCACTGTGTATTTTGAGTGCCTCCATGCTGCATAGACACTATACGTTTACAAACATCCATGCCTTCTCTAGGATTCAAATTTATACTATGCATCAGAGATAGTGTGCATCTGTTTCTTGATGTGGCTTAAATTGAATTTGTTGTGCATGATGTTCATTGGCAAAACATATTTCTACTCACAAAGTTTTCAAAATATTCATATTAAATTCACTCCGAAAATTTCTCAGTTACAAATATTACTGTAGCTGAGACACTGCAAATTTGTTTGCCATATCATATTAACTTTTAGCATAACTGAGCAGATTGCTAGTAATATCATCTAAAAATGGTCCGGTGATAAGTGGAGTTGTAATCTTGCTCTAGATCATAAATATGGGAAAATTCATTTGTGAGCTGGATGTGAGTTTTGCTTAATATATTTTTGACAGTTGTATAAAACATATTCATTTCTCTTGATGCAGCAGTTTCACAGGAAGAGACAGTGTTTTATTCACAGCTTGCGTTCATTATGACAGTAACAATTTCATTCACTTTTTGTGAGTTGGTGGGTATGTAGTATCCGCAAAACTACCAGGCTCTATTTAAGAGTACATATTAGGTCATCCTAATTCATTCAAATACTATTTCTCATCAACTTTTATTCAATTACTACTCTTCATTCTCCATAATGAAATTCTTTACATATCTTACATTCTCAGCCTCTACTATTCTCATATATTATGTTGCTCATTTTCAAAATTTGTAATGATCTTCTTAAGTATTTACTTATCTATTTACGTTTCATTACTTTCATATTTCTTTAGGTATTATGTTTTTAATATTTAATTTCTTCAATTTTTATTATATAATTCTCAAAATTATGATGCTTTATTTGACTTCATATATAACAACATTGTATTTTATCGTATTCTAAATTTTTAAACTTTTATTTATTGTATCTATTAGGTTTATTATTATTGTATTATTTATATATTTATTTCTTGATATTTTATTTAATTATGTAATTATCAAATTCTAAAATTTTATTGTATTTTCAAACAACACAGTTGGTATGATTCCATCAGTTGAGCGTAAAAGCTGAATGTCTTAAAAGCGGTGCAGCTGCTCATCTGATGGTAAATAAATAAATAAGAGTACATATAGCCATTAAATCTTGTAGCCATTTATGCAATCTACAGGATCCAAAGAGTGCAGTAACAGCAGTACAGTTATTTATGTAGTATGGTTTAAGAAAAAAATATTGGAACAGAATAAACATCATCATTATGATTGATATTAATAGTTACAACGAATAAAATTTTCCTCTGTTCATTTTTAAAATCCTCCTGTTGCTTACTGATTTGAATGATAAGATCATTTCATATGTTTGATATTTACATTGCTACTCATAGATGAATTCTGGAACTAAGTTCCATTTCTCCTCTTCAGCAGGTATTACTTCTGTATGATGCATGAATGTGATTTCTAAAAAAGAATAAATATGTAAGCAAAAAATATTTGGACATATTCTTTTATTTATTAATTTCATGTATAGACTTTTTAATGCGTGAACAGACTTTTATGTGTTATATTTGTAATTCTTATAGTTTTCTTTAGATAATGAAGTAATGGTTTAAAAGAAATTCTTAAGTTTGAACCAAATAAAGATACAGATGCTGTTGTGTATAATTTTTAAAGAATTTAATTTTTATATAGTGGTAAACTAAAAAAAAATTATCATATCTTCTTTATTTCTGTAATTATATTATCTCATGTATGATATATTTTATTCAAGGTTTTGTTAGAGAAGGGCAGTGTGAATGCCCTTATAAACAGGTGTGATCATTACGATAATAGTCCTCTTCATATAGCTGCTATAAAAGGTTTTACTCATATTGCTGAGGTAACTTCTTAATTTATTATTGTTATTATTATTCTAAGGAGTTTAACAGAAGAATAAAATTTGCTGTTTTTTCTTAGATCCTTTTAAATAATTGTGCAGAAATTGAAAAGAAAAATGAACATGAACAAACACCTTTGCACTTATCTGCAAAAAATGGGCATGTAAGGTAAAACCATAAAAATTATTTTCTATAGTATGTCTTAAAGTGTAAAACTTGCATATAAACCCTCTGAGCAACATGGCCAACTTTATCTGGTCAAGAGATTTTTTGGTCACTTGATACATATTAGCTTATCATTTAAGATATTTTGCTTTCTTTAATAATGTAAATGTATTCTTAATAGGTGTAAGTTTATAAAAGTGGAGACTAAAATAAGTAAATATACAAATTTAGTTTATAAATGTTGTTTAATTTTAGCTTAAAAATGCTGTCTTCATGACAGATTCAAAAACCCATGCAGCTCAAAAGGTTAACTTATCCTTTTTTCTAAACATCTTTTCATTATTATTTAATTTTATTTCTAATTTGATTTTTTAGAATAACACTTGAATTTGTATTAATTGTATAAAGCTTTTTCTGTCTGAAAAATTATATAAAAATTAACTTATTACAGTTTAAAATTATCTAACAGTTTACTTTAAAATTAAATAACAGTTACTTAAATTACAGTTTTAAAATTAACTTATTACAGTTATTTAAGCTGAGAATATTTTCATATTTCATTCAATAACATTTTCATATTTAGATTTTTGTGTTTTCTTCAAGTTTTGTATTAGGCATATTTAATATTTGAATGAATAAAGTTTTATTTATTTTTTTTTTAAATTTCCTGTGGCAACTTTCTATTAATTACTCCTATGCCAATATTTTGGCTATTACTGCACAGGGCAAACTTAATATATTTTCTTGTGTATTTCACCATGAGTTTATTGTAATAAAATGTGAAATATTTTACCGGACATTTTGTGATAACTATTTAGTGACTATCTATTTGTGATTACTATTTATGATATTTATTTTAGCACATTTTGTGGCTTAATTATTTTCATTGTTTATTGTGTCAGTTTTTGTTAACTAGTATTTTGTTTAAATAAGTAATTTTTTTTTTATTATTCCAAACTATGATACATTTGTAATTTAAAGGTTTCTTTGTAATGTTTAAAAGTCTTAATTTCTTTAGTGTTGCTCAACTTCTAATAAGTCATTCTAAAACAATTGTGAATGCTGAAGATGAAAATGCAAATACTCCATTACACCTTTCCTCACTGAGTGGGCATTATCAAGTTGTACATGTTTTGTTGAATGCTGGGGCTAATATTCATGCCAGGTAATTTTTAGCATCCATCAAGTTATTTTATTTTATGTACCAAATTTTAAACTAATAAATAAAAGCTTTTTTTTCATATATATATATATATATAATTGCCATTTTAAAATGCTAGGAATAAGTAAAATGCTGCGTTAGTAAATTTTATGTTTACTGATGTCCAAGTAGTAGTATCAATAATTGCTTTTAATTCTGTGTCAAATTAACATTTATTCTAAGACTTTTACATGAACTCAGGCTATTAAAAGGTAATCATAATTATGTTCTAAGTGGGGAGAGGAGGCAAATCTGTACACATAATGGGTCTGTGTAAGACTTGTATTAATAATGTGAGCAACACAATATATTTTATTAGTTAAATATTAAGGGATGCATTCTTGAAATAATAAACAGGAGCAATTCGAAAAGTTAATTGAATCCATTTCAATTATAGATGGAGGAGCACTGAGAAGAAATATAAGTTTATGCTTATAAGGAATTCTAAATTACATTTTAATGCACGTTTCCTAAAGTGTATTAATACTTAGAATATAGACCTTATACTGAAATTAATGAAAATGCCATGCACACTCTTGCAAAGCAGCAAGTTTACTAAAATCAGTTTTTCTGGTCAGAAATCTGCATGTATTAGAAGAAAGTATGAAAATATGTAAACATCAGGAAGACACTAATTTAGAAATCAAACAACAAAAATCAGCATTACATTTTCAGACTAGTTTCAAACCGTCAGCCTCAGCTTTTAATTACATAAAATTTCTGAATAATGATGGTTTCATTCATCAGGAATAGCCATTCAAAATTAGGCAAAATTATTTCATTGGTTTTATAGGAAAACTGTCTATGTCTGAAATTTTTGACATACACATAAGTTTTTAAAGTTATACTTATGGAATACTTCTAAAATTCTGTAGGCAAATTTTCCAAAGATTAATTTTCTCAAGCCATTCATTTCTCGGAATCTATAAAAAAATGCTAAAAAAATAATTTTTTAGATTAAAATATAGCCAAAAGTCACAGATAGCTAGATCGGGTGAATAAATTGGATAACTTTGACATTTTTCTGCTCAGGAAACTCTACTGTCAATCTTGCTGAATGAGAAGATGCATTGGCATGGAGTCCTGCAACATTTACTTCATTGAAGAATTTCTGGAAGACACTTAGTGGTGTACCACTGTGACTATTTTCTGGCCTTCCAGCGTGATGGCTGTGATCAGTCCTGTACTTCTGAAGAAAATGGCATACATTACTTTTTCATGGCATATTATCTTTTCACCATTGTGGTCGTGGGATGATCTTCAAAGACCCATACTTTACTTTCTTGGCATGTTGGAAGGTCAAAAAATGTTACGTTTGGTTTATCACCAGCTACAATTTTAGAAATAATGTGATGACCAGCATCTTTAAGTAAGTTAAGGGTTTCTTTGCTGATTCTAACACATTTCCTTGTTTGGTGCTCAGTAAAATTATGGGGAACCCAAAGCAAACTAGTTTTCTGCATGCATTTCTTCATAAATAACTTTATGTGTAGATGTGGATCCAATGTTAATTATCGTAGATTAACATTAACCATATGGGAGACACATTATCCAGGATTACTGCTGATAACAGCCTTCCTGTGTGTTCTTCATCCTGGTGAGAGTTGCAGCCTCTGCGAAATTGTGTAATTTGTGTCTATGCTAAAATGCTCGCAATTGGCCAATAAAAATCGTCTGCTAAACTAAAATAGTTTGTATTTTCAAATCTAACTGTTAATTTTTTTTCTGCCACTTATTGTTTGCACATATCTCAAAAATTTCACTATGACTTCCATATTTCAAGAAGACAAAGGAAACTCTTTAAATATAATTCCTTATAAATAATGATTGAAAATATTCTGCTCATTATTTATTAGGAATTGAGTCAGTTAAGAATGGATATGTAAAGGATATTTTGATTTTATTAATATGTGATATAAAGGTGAAGGCTTTTTTGGAACCCAGTGTGAAATGTATGTTCTAAATTCTATTAGAATTATTTATTATGTTTTTAAATTTCCAGTTATAAATTAAGAAATTTAAAACTGTATTATATCTATAGGAAAGTACTTTATTTTCAAACAGTTGCAAATTATTGTCAAAATTATTTATCTTGTATTTATTTTTTTATTCAAAAGGGAAAATATTGCAGAATAAAATGACATGCTTGTTACTTGTATGATGCCGTTTTTTTATTAATATTTTTTATTTTATTATTATTATTTCTGTGGCATTTCAGATTTTACTCTTTATAAGCATGTCAGTGAATTGTCTTCGTGCTTTTATGTTAACTGAAATAGCAATTAAGAAATTAAACTATGTTGAATGTTAAACTGTGAATGTTTGAGTGAAGAAAATAATTTTGTGCGCTTTAATAGTACATATATGAAGAAATTCAATACAAAAAGTAACGTTGGTATACTTGAAATTTGTTGATCTCAGTCTTATTGGATCTTCAGTCTAAATTCATCAAAACATTATTAAAATGTTGAACTCTTGATGTAAACATTGTAGTATTACACAAAGAAGTTAGAAGGCTTACAAAAAAGAAGTGGTGGGGGTTTTTACTAAACAGTTTACAGGATCAAAATAAAAGCAATATTATTCCCAAAATTGCCCTGAAAGGAAATTTTAAAAGCTCCTGAATAATTTTAGATGTAAGTGGCGTATTAGTGCAAGGATTCCATTGTTGGGATAAAACCATTTTCAGTTTTTAGACAACAAAATTATTTTTAGCTCTAGATTGCTCTTTAATTTAGATTTGTTATAAATGTCTAAAATTTTCTGGATATCAGTCTTGTGAATTACTCCAGTACTTCTAGTCCATTTTTGTTGGAGATGTGGATTGGAGGGGACTTGTTTTAAGCTCTAAACATGCTTCGTTTGTCCGTGCAATACAATTTCCACATGTATCACTGCAGTTTCTGCTGTAAGTGTTTGTCATAACAACAGTGCTTTGTTACTGCCATTAGCAATAAATTCCATACTTATTTGGTCTGATATTTTATGGTGAATTTCATTTATTGGCCATTAAGTAGCATGTGTCTAACATTTTAAATATTAGTTAAATTTTATTCTTTGAAATATATCATTAATTATCTACGAGGGCCATCCAGGAAGTAGATTACGTTTCCGTCTGTGTCCGCTAGGGGCGGGGCTAGCGCGGCCATCTTGGGGTCAGAGCGTTGCGCAGCTCAGTCTGCATCTAGCCGTGCTAGTGAGAGGTTCGTGCTGTGCTCCGTTAGGATACTGTGACGGTTTGAAATGTCTGCGTTAATTGAAAATCCCGCGAGCTGCGAGGTGCGCTCAGTAATAAGGTTTCTGACTGCAAAAAACTGTAAACCGATAGAAATCTATCGGCAGCTTCGTGAAGTGTATGGGGACAACATTATCACTGAAGGTGGAGTGCGTCAGTGGGTCATAAGATTTCAAAATGGCCGAACCAATGTTCACGACGAAGATCGAAGTGGGAGACCCAGCATAGTGACCGCCGAACTTCTCGAAAAAGTCGATGCTAAAGTCCGTGAAAATCGAAATTTCACAATAACGGAACTTTCTTTGAGTTTTCCACAAATTTCGCGAAGTTTGTTGCACGAAATCATCAGCGAAAAGCTTGGTTACCACAAGTTTTGTGCAAGATGGATTCCAAAAATCTTGACAGAGGACCACAAAAATCAGCGAATGGCTGCAGCGTTGAACTTTTTGGACGCTTACCATAAGGATGGTGACTCTACTTACTCGATCGCATCGTTACTGGTGACGAAACATGGGTGAAACATGTGAACTGTGAAACGAAATTGCAATCAATGCAGTGGGGGGCACACAAGTTCTCCCCAAAAACCCAAGAAATGCATGCAAACAATGTCGGCAAGGAAGATGATGGCGACTGTTTTTTTGGGACAGAAAAGGTGTAATTTTGGTGGACTTCCTGGAAAGAGGCACTACAATAAACTCTCAAAGGTATTGCCAAACTCTCCAAAAAACTCAGAAGAGCAATTCAAAACAAGCGCAGAGGAATGTTGAGCTCTAAGATCTTGTTGATTCACGACAACGCCCGGCCCCACACGGCAAATGTCACTCGTAAAGTTCTTGAATCTTTTAAGTGGGAGTTGTTTCCTCATCCGCCGTACAGTCCCGACCTGGCACCGAGCGACTTCCACCTATTCCCAGCAATGAAGAAGTGGCTGGCTATGCAGCGTTTTGATGACGACGCACAGCTGCAAGAAGAGGTAACGAAGTGGTTGAAGGCGCAGGCGGCCGAATTTTTCGACGAAGGAATTTCCAAGCTCGTACATCGCTACGATAAATGCCTTAATTTGTATGGTGACTATGTAGAAAAGTAGTATTTGAGTGTGGCTTTCATCTGTATATAATAAAATTTGTTTCCTATACTTTGTTTATTTTTTTATTCCAAAACGTAATCTACTTTCTGGATAGCCCTCGTATATATGCGTGTTTTATTTTCCCCATACAGGAACTGTTACTTGTGGACAGCCTTAGATTGTGCAGCAGTGCGTGGCTGGAAGCGTTGTAGCCAGATTCTTCTTAATGCTGGATGTCCTGTTGATCCTCTTGATAAAACAAAAGTAATTCATGTGTATTATTCAGTTTATTTTTATTGATCAGCTTCCATATATATATTTTTTGGGGGGTTCTTAAAGAAGTGAAAGGATACGTATTTTATTCAAGCAGTTAAACAATTATATGCAATATCTTAGTCATTGTATATACAGTCAAAAGTCTTTAATCCGGACTCGTCGGGACTTCGGCGATTCCGGATTATCGATTTTTCCGGATTATAGTTCATCAGTTTAAATCTGGTAAGATGGCATGCAGAAATTATAAAATTAAAAATATGAAACCATAATTTATAAATATAAGAGCAATTATGATCTAAAGGGTATCAAAATTTACAAAAAAAGAAGCTTAATATTTATTTGTTTACTTTATTAAACATTTCTTTCAACGCGCGCACATGCGTAAAGCATACATTACGCATAGTCGAAATTAGAAAATTGCAACCAGAAAACTATTTGATGTGTATTCGTGATATTTATAATGATGAGGAATTTGATTTAAATCATATCAAAGACGGAGTACATCGAGATGAAATACTACATTTAGTAAGGAATTATAAGCCGAATAAAATAAAAACATCTGCCCTGAAGATAAGGATAGTGCTGACAGATCAACTTCCAGTTCATTGCGCGCCACGACGTCCCCCCCCCCTGCGCAGAGCAGCGTGAAATTGATAAACAGATTTCGGAACGGTTAGATAAACAAAGGATATGCCTTTGTCCATTTTTTGTAGCAATTCGTTTTTTGTTTGATGGACACCGAAACATATTTTCGTTTTCTAGGTCCTTTGGGAGCTCCAGCATCGGAAATTCTATTTGACATAATCGAAAGTTCAAGCTTACTTTTATAAAATTGCTCTTACAGTCTGCAAAAAATAATAAGCCGGATCCAATTCGAAGGTTAAGGAACAACGCAATCATTAACATTAACTGAAATAGATAATTAGATACTTTTAGCTTATACCGTCCGTTATACATTAAACGCGCACGCTTAAACGTATTCTGCGCTTGTGCAGACGTATATGCGCAGTCGTAAATGTCTGTGCGCATGCGTAAGACGCCTATGCGCATGCGTCAAGGCGGCGCATGCGCAGAAAGATTTTAGCTTTGAGGTCCGGATTATGTGTCCGAATTAACGACTTTTGACTGTATATATTTTTAAATTAGTGTAGTTTAAAATGATCTGGAATAAATTAATGTAATATCAGGGACTATTTTCTGTTTTACTGTAAATTAGTCAAATTTGAATAAGTTTTAATTTTTGCAGGTGTTTTACACATTGTGGATTGGTAGAGAAAATATATATTACAAATTATGATTTAGGTGCAATATTTTATATTGAATAGCAGATTAGAAATAGTTAAAAATTTGACCTTTACCTGTGTCTACTCTATCAGTAGATTTTTTAATTTACTGCTGTCTAATTTGTGCTTTAGTTTGTTTACATGTAGTTGCTAATTCATCATATGAATGATTTATAGAGATGCTTTAATTTGTATATATATATATATATATATATAATTGGGTAGTTGTTAAATTTTTCTGAAATTTTATTCATACCATTTATATTGAGTAATAATATGCAATATCTGCTATGTATCACTTATATATATTCAAGGATAATGTATTAAATTTTTCTGACCAATTTGCAGACTACACCTCTGCATTTGGCTGCTCGTGAAGGTCATAGAGGTGTTGTAAAGCTGCTTCTAAAACATGGAGCAAATATTGCCCAATGTGACAAGAATGGAAAAAATTGCTTAGATTTGGCAGTTGATAAAGGACATGAGTATGAAAATTATTGAGTTTTATTTAAGATTTTTTGTTATTGTAAAATATTATTTAAACAGAGAACAAAAGCTTACAACTGTAGTCTTTATTATTTTATTGAGTTGTCTTTTGAGTTGTAGTGCCCACATAGAATAAAATAAATAACAAAAAAAAAAAAAAAAAAATCCTTAATAAAAGCAGAATGTATTTTGAATATTTATTAGTATATATATGTAAACAGGAAAAATTTTTGAAATTATTAATGACCAATTATAACTTGTCACTAGTCTTAAGAGCCTAATAATAAGCTGTTGCAATTCATCTGGATGAAATAATTGAGATTTCTAACTTGCTAATATTATTGGTTTCTAAGCAGTTTCTTCCTCTTGTACATACTCTCATTGCGTTTATCATCCAATGAGAGTATGCACAAGAGGGTCAAATTGTAAATTTGATGTATTTTTTATAAATGAGTATTTATAATGGATTACTGCCTAGCTGTTTGTACATACAGTATTGGATTAATGGATTGGTGAGAATCAGTAGTGTGCCATTGTTTAATAAGGGAACTAGACTAGTTGCCTGTCATTTTTAGTAATCATGTTTCCCAAAAAAATTTATCTAGCCTTTAAAAGTTCTAAAATGAAAGTAAATTTTCATGTTGTCTGATTATGCAGAAGTAAATTTTCCCCATTTGTACCTTGTAGTTGAATATAATTAGCTGTTCATTCATACTAGATCAGATGTCTATTTCTAAGCAGCAGATGGCTATTTCTGGGAGAAGGTGACAACCAGTTTTACTCCCAATTCCCTGCATTAGCATTTCTGGTTTATTTGGGGTAGGAACTAACTAGCTTCCAACTGTTCCTTCCAAGCATTAGCTTATTGTTAATAAGTGGAGTGCTGTGATAAAGAGTTCCAATTTTCATATAGGTATTACTAGTGACTTCATTTAAGCTTTTACTGTAATAATTTAACTCACATTCATGAAAGCTGTTTTTGAGATGTGAAAGGGTTTTAAATTAAATAAATTATAATTTTAATTCTGTATTGAAAATATGGAGAGGACTTGGTTGAAAAAGCCATTTCCTCAGAAGATATCAATACGAAGCATGCGCAAGCAGTCAGCAAGACAAATTTACATCAGTTATCATCAGAATTTATTGTTGGCTTCAGAGTGTTGTGTTCGTGATTGTTAATGTGCCTAATCTTTTGGGTCCTTAAGCTTTCAAGAAAAGCAAGTATTTATATCCAGAGGTTGGCCTACCCCAGATATTTCTGTGAGTAATCAGTGAAGCATTACATCCATCATTTGAAAGTGGATTATTATGGTTAATTGCATGTAAACAGAGACTATTTTGCTGCCCTTGTGTTCTCTTTGAGATAGGTAAAGGAGTGTAGCTGTAAGATAGATAAAGGAGTGTGGTTTTTGAAATAAAGTACTGATTTCTGTAATATTGGCAGTTTTTAATAAAGTGAAGATTCACCATGAAAAAAGCCATTCTAATTTATCTACAGTAAAGAAATTGGAAATATTTTAAAGAACAGGGGTTAACTTTTGCATAAGCAATGGAAATTGGATGTTTTGAAGCATAATGCTGAAGTTTATTCAAATAGAGAAATTATGAAGTGATTAATTGATGTATGTTGTTTGTTGGCAAGGTAAGAACTTTTATTTAGGAGCTACAATGGCTGCAAAGATTCTTTTAATCAATACAGACACTTTCAAAATAAGATAATAAATTAGAAATTAATTTACACCCCCCCCCATTTAAAGAAATGTTAAACAAAATTCAGAATGAATTTTTTGATAATATTGGAGATGTAGTATTGAATAAATTGAATATTGAATAAAACCAGATTTACAACTTAAAAAAGCTAAAAAAGGTTATGTTTGCCAACATTTGCCAAGGCATATAGCTCAGTGCAGAACATTTTGTAGTACCATATATGAAAACTATTTAGCAGGAGATGAATGGAAGTACATTACAGACTATATTATTTGTGTGCCTAGTGCAATAATTTAAAAATGTGAATGTGAATTTGGTTTAAGTGGATATTAAGTATTTAATTTAAGTGGATATTAAGTATTCAAACCTTACAAAATAATTTCAGGTTTTTGCTTCAAAACATTAAAGATATTGTTACATGTGTATGGGTTTATAATAGATTCAACACACTAGCATTGTAACAATTACAATTATAACTACCATTGAAACAATTACAATTAAAAATATTGTTACATGTGTATGGGTTTATAATAGATAGAATGCACACAGATCCGATGATAGGTTGATAAAATTTATTTTATCCAAAAAAAAAAAATTCAGAGTTCTAAATTCTCCACAGAAATACTCATACAGGTATTCAAAGTATCTCAGAGTACAATCAGTAGTTACACTTCAAATTACTGAGAATGTTAAACACAATTCTGTGTAAAGTGCCTCTAAAGAGAAAAGCTAATGCAGAGATCTATCAGTACTCTGAATTTACGCTAAACTAACAACTCACAACAACAACTGAGAACTGATGCTGTCTCCAGTCTTAGATAGTTTTTACCCAGCCACCGAGATATTTCCAGTACTTTCTGCTTCTCGAAATCAATGGAAGGTGTATGAGGTCTGAATATAGATGCAGCTTTTGTAATGATAATTACAATTATTCAATTATAGTATTAAGTACAGTGATACAAGGACTGGTCCAGTATGTCACTGATTGGTCATCAAATTTGGCAACAAAAATAAGTCACCAAAACCATTGCCAGCTTGCCGGTATCTCATAAGATAGCCATTTACTCAGTGTTAAATAGACTTGCCCCTGTATTCTTATTTTTCCGGCACAACACGCTACCTCTAGATTTTCACGTTACTTTATTCAGGGAAAAATACAACAATTTCACATACAATTATGCTAAAATCATCTATCTAGGTACAGAGTTCATAACAATATTCTGTGGATATGAATGTTCCAGATATCATTGTCTATGTTACTGAGTTTTTCATTCTCTGTAATACATGTGTGGGTTTAAAAAAGTGCTTCATAATTAGATGCCAAAGTGCATTAAATGACTTATGTTTGATTCATATTTAAATACTGCAATATAAATTATTTTTATATGAAAATAGTTACGGATAATAAAAATTGTTCAAAAAAAGTTTTGTTTGCATTATATGTACTGTGGCAGTGCATTCGAACAGATGCGGAACGGATTAAAATTTTGAGAAGAAAAAAAAAAATAGAATTACTGTTAAAATAACTAAAAGAGCACCAAGACTGAAAAGCTAAATTTTATTTAAGGGGAAAAAGAAAATTGGCATACCATATTGTTTTTTGGCTTACAAAAGTGTAATAATGCTTGTAATATTTATGTTTTGAAATTTACTGTCATAAAAGCATGTAACATGTTATATAAAAGTACTTTTTTATCATGTGTTCATTATGCTGCTCCAGATATATCCTTCGTTTAACATCTTTAGTAAATATTTGAAAAACTTGTCATTCCTGGCTGTTATTAGACAATTTCTTTATTATATGCTTCACGACTTATTAATTCAAAAGAATTGTGGTGTGATAGTGTATTTCATTGATGAGTTTGCAAAAATACAATTCTTCCTTTACTAAAAATATTAAGCTGCATTTTTGCTTTTTTATATCAAAGCTAACTTACCCTCTTTTTTAGTAATTTCTAGCTTAATAATATAATCTGTCTTTTATCTTTTCAGTCTCTCTAATTCTCTTCTGCTTTGTACAGTCTTGCATTGCTTCTGTTCACTTCTTACTCCCTCAAGCTTGCATTTGCTTAGTTTTTGTGTTTAGTTAGAAGTCATTTTCTCTGTCCTTGCAGTCTAGCTTACATTATTTGCCTTTGCTTGGTCTGAAGTTTTGGATAGTGGAAAGAAAACTTGCTGTATCAATTTTGAAGCAATGTAAATTTTTTATGTAGAGAAGTTGCTATGGCAATTCTGTCAGATGAAAGATGGGAGACTGTTTTGCGCAATGAATCAGATAAGAATAAATTCTGTGTGCATGAGACACCATTACGTAGATTGATCCGTCAAATGCCAGGTATGTAACTTTTGATACATAACCAACTTTTTCATTTTGTTTTATGTTTTGAATTAAATTTATGTATGCATGGAAAAATTTATCAAAAACCTATTTCCAGCTGAAAACTTGGTTTAATATAACATCTGTACTATTCCTTTATTATAGTTACCCTTTTACATGATGAGGTAAATATCATCAGTGGGTTTTAAAACTTCATGCAATTTCTCTTTTTTTAATTAAATGTATTTTAATAAATGTCCATGTGCAGTTTCTTGATCCTTCAGGAATTCATGAATATTACCTTTTCCTTAATGCATGAATAGTACCCTTTTTGGTTCATTTTTTTTAAGCAGGCCATATTAAAATTACTGGTTTCTGGTTTTTCAAAGAAAACTTCAATTTTTTTAAATGTTTCATTATTCTATCATGCATTTATTATCTATATACTTTGGCTGTTATAAAGTCAGTAACGTTGTGCTACTCCACGCTGATGCCTACTTACAGGTCACTAAGCATATGGTTGTGCAGATACTCATGTCCTTCAATTAAATGTTATTTTAATATTCTGTCAAAATTACTACTCATACTGATGACCATCAATCTGTGTGTCACCAAAGACAAATGACTTTGATCATAACCTGAACTACTTAACACTATTTTACATTATTTGAATGCTTAACACTATTTTACACTATTTGAATGCTATTTTATTCCATGCATATCATGAATAAAATAGTTTTTCTTACTTTCTGTAATTGGTGGATTCCAAAATTTTCAGATCTACTTCATGTGTTCTCTGTCATTTGCATGCAGAATAAAATCTAATAATTATTATGACATCTTATATTAATATGCAGACTGCAAGTCTGTCTATACCTTTTTAATCTTTTGATATTTTATGTTAAAAAAATGCTAAAACAAACTTTAAAATTGAAATTTTATGAGTTGGCTTTAAATTACGTTTTGCCATAAAGATTTAGTTGCATGGTTGTTTTAGCTGTGTTGACAATGCTATGTTGGAATATTTTGCTTTCCCCCCCATTTTTTTCACATTCTTTAACTTTGTATATATTTAAAAAAAAAAAAAAAAAAACTGTAAAAAGGGTTGTTGCAGTGTTTAAACTCTAATCTGAACTTTTTATATTACATATTCTTTAAATTTTTATTTATTTTACTGCTCATAAGTTGTAGAAATAAAACATTACTCATTACATGCAGAATTTCAAATTAATTTAAAGTTTAAATGCTTGAATGTGGAAATATTCATTTATGTCTGTATATATTTTATATGTTCATTTAATGTGAGTGGTATGAATTTCCTGAGATTTAAATCACTAAATGATTTAAAACAAGGAAAATTCCTGTCATTGTGTTTTTTTCTGATAGCCTTCTAATATTGTTTAGTGCAAGATTAGTTGCATGTTGCTTAAGTTTTTAACTAAATTATTTAATATTGAGCCTTTGTAATGTTAATTTTTTTTAGATGTGGCAGAATATGTTTTTGACCGATGCATCACGCACAATGAATATCCCGAAGATGATCGTAGATTTGCAGTCCATTTCAATTATGAGTTTTTAGATGATACATTTGCATGTTACAAACCTCATCTGTATGAAGATATAGACCGAAATGACAGTTCATCCAGTTCAGGAACAAGTATATATACTGGTATGTACAGAGGGTGTTTACACATGTTTTAGAATGGTATCAAAAAAAAAAAAAAAAAAAAATTAAATCCCTTTTTTTGGAATAAAAATCTCGGATTACAACTTATAATTTAAAATGAGAAATATTGTCTCCTACTTTTAAATTTATTCTTGTTTAAATTATCACATGTAAATAATCTATGAATTGAAGGATGTATTTTTGAACTGTCTAAAGAGTTGAAGGATGTATTTTTGAACTGTCTGAAGAGTTCATGAACTCTTCAGACAGTTCAAAATTTATAATTTAAAACTGTTGCAAAATACATGGTATTAAAATTTTGAAGTGCAAATAAGTGACATTATCAGTTGGAGAGAGCAAAACTGTCAGTCATTACTTCTACATGAAGAGAAGACTCCAAATAATTTCCCAAATAATACTGTTTCTAATGCTTCTAAAGTTAAATCTTTCATAACAAGAGAAAATCCGCCAGTGCAGGAATCAGTTGCAAAACCTTTAAATAACATTGGTAGCAGTAATAAATAAAGTATATTAAACCAAGACTTGCAATTAAAAAGCTAAAAAACATAATGTTCATGAGCTTTTGATGAGGCATGTGGCCATGTAGAACAGTTTATAGAATTTTGTATAAAAACTATTAGCAAGAGATAAATAGAAATGCATTATTACTCTTGATGAAGCGTGGGTTTACCTAAATAACTGCAATTAAAAAAAGGTCTATTTATTATCCAAAATTAAACAAAAATAAGTGTAGAAACCTGTCTCTCTTAATAAAAAAAATGGTTTAATAAAGGATTAATGATTGTCACATGATTCTCGTAGAATGGGAAATTAAAAATAAGAAGAGGTGGAAAAAATTGTTGAAATCAATTTAGTGTAATATCAGCAGAAAATTTTATGTCTGATATTTACAGAAGAAATTTCATTTCTTTATTCCAATGACTTTTAAAGAATGAAACATCATAAAGACAAAGCAACATGTCTTACTTTGAAAAGTATCGTTCCATGCCATGGAAAAACAAATATTCAGGAAAGTAGTGGAAGAAGAAAGGAAATCCTTGGAAATTTGACAAAAAGCTCCTCTTTCATGGAAGTCACAATGTAAACTTATAGTCCAGAAAATAAGCTACCAGATTGAGTATTTTAAAAAATGCTCTGTACATTTTAAAAATTAACTAAATTGCTTTAAAATTATTTTTTTTTTTTTTTTTTTTTTTTTTTTTTGTTTTTTTTTTTTAAAAGTTTTTTTTTTTTTTTTTTTTTTTTTTTTATTTTTTTTTTTAAGGTGCATAAGTACTCTGTGATTTTAAATTCCACTTGCATATTTCTTAGAAATTAATTATTATCAATAAAAGAGAAACTTACTGATATCAGTTTTAAAATTTGAGGAAAGTTAACCTTAAATTGACATCAAATTTCTAGAAAATCTATGCACTTGCTTTTCCTCAAAAAGGAAAAATATTTTTCCTTTTTGAATATTTATTTATTTATTTATTTATTTATTGCAATTTATTTCTAGCAAAATACAAGGGGAAAATATTCTTTTTTTATATTTTGCTAGAAATAAATTAATTAGATTAAAATAAAAATAAGTAAGTGATTAAAAAAAGAACAATTATACAATTATAATGTCATCCAGTTAATGAAAAGGAATGGAAAATAGGAAAAAAAAATTAGACTTTTAATAGAAGTTAATGTGTTTTGATAAAGATAGAAATTTTCAAAGAAATCTAATTTGTGAATTGAAGTTTTACTGGTATAATTTTAGAAAAATTTAAATGTGAAGAATGATTTAAGAGGCATCATTGTATGATTTATTTGATGCCTGAAAGCAGGGTTTTTTTTTTTTTTTTTCTTTTCCTTGCTATAGGAGACTTCATCTCTGTGAAATATAATTCTCTGGTATAAATTTAGATTTTAAAAGGGAACTGTTACTACTCGTATAATATCAATGCTTTTTGTGATAAATGAATAGGACAGCCTTTATAGTATAATTAGTTAAAGTTGTTGATTAAGTCATTGAGGCTACATTTAGAAAATGTTTGTTGAAAGCCTTGTGCACAGGTAATCCTCTTCCCTTCCCCAAAAGTACATGAATTTACACTATCTGGCCATTCGTCACCTAACTAGTATGTTAATTTGGTTTCAGCAGTCCATCAGTATCCTGTGGGGCCACCTTTCACCGCAGTTACTCCCGTAACCCTTTTAGGAAAACTCTCCCCCAATTTGTGATGAGTTTCGACGCGACTCTTGCTCCATTCCTCTTGCAAAGCAGTTAACAACTATCTAGTGTTTTTGGGGTGGCATGGCCTGGGTTTCAAGTGACTTTCCCAACTCGTCTCAAAGATGCTCAATAGGGTTGATATCAGGATTTTGGGCTGACCAGTCAAGTTTTTGCACACTCATGTCCTCGAACCAGTGTTTATAACACCTGCAGTATGACATGGAGCATTGCCTTGCTGAAACAATACTGAATTGTGCCCATAATGTCGGTAGCACATAATTGTCCAGAACCATTTAGTATGTATCCGCATTCATTTTTCCCGGTACTAAAACTAGAGGACCAAGGCCATATCATGAGAAGCATGACCACACCATGATGCCAACTCTGCCGAATTTCACTGTGTGTATGATACATGCTTGTAAGCAGAATAACAGTATGAATAACAGAACTTTTAATAATTCGTTTCCAAAATGAAGGAGATTGTGAAGAACAAGCATGAGAACTATCAAAAGCATGAGAGTGTAAAGAAACCACTTTTCATTTAGCAGAATTGATTGATTTTTTACAAAAGAAGAAGGTAAACATTTTTCTTTATTTGAAAAGTTTCCTGATTAATTTTATTTATGAAATTAAATTTATTGCATGCAGTTAAAATGTCAAGGGAATAAAAGGAATTTATAAATTATTTCAAAGAGAAACTAAATGTCAATATCAATAGAATTCATAATTATTAAGGTATTTTTAAAGTACTTTTCTTGTTATCAAAAAGTAAAAATTTATCATCAGCACAAGAAATCCAGTTCATGTGCAGAGGGGAGGAAAAAAAAAATAGTTACTGAATTAAGGAGATAAATTTTTCATAATTATTCTATAGCACTCTTTGGCGATAAGTTCCATTCATTTTCCAGTAACCAATGAATTTTTTCATTTATTTATATTATGTATTTCTGAAAATATGACACAGAATATTTTACTTTGTCAGAGAATGGAGTCTCATGATAGGTTTGTCCCAAAATGAATAGAGCTTCTCTATAAAACTAACTATAATCTAAGGTTACTTTAATCAAATAAATCTAAATCCAGTCTAAAATTGAGTCTTGCTTGATTTTCAAAATAAATAAATAAATAAATTTTATTTTTTAGGTTCTAACATATACAGTGAAGGTGGACATGTAAGAAAGAAAGTGATGCCTTATACTAGTGATAAAGAAGTGCTGAAAGATAATCATCCTTTGATGTTGATGGTAAATGTTATATTTTAATACACTGCCAATAATAGGTCTTGTTTTATCTTACAGTATAAAAGCAACAAGAGAGCCTTAGTTGCAAATAAAAGCAAAATGCATATGTTAAATTGTCCCATGTATAAATGTTATGATTCTTGTTGAAACTATATTACATTTAAAATGTTGCAAATGATCAGGCAGACTTAAAACATTATGTACAAACATGTTTTTAATTATATTTATACAAATAATAATAAAATATAATTTATGAATTTGTGTAAAACGTATTAAATATGTTGTAACAGTAGGCAGAACAAGATTGGCTGTCCTCTCTTCAAATCTATTCTATCTATATATACAGTCAAAAGTCATTAATTTGGACACACCAGAATAATCTATAATCCGGACCTCAAAGCTACAAACTTTCTGCGCATGCGTCAACGGCTGCGAATATGCGTGTGCGCATGTGCAAAATACGTTTACGAATGCACGTTTAATGTATAACAGACGGTATAAGCTAAGCTAAAATTATCTAATTCAGTTAATGTTGCAGATTGCGTTGTTCCTTAATCTTCGAATTGGATCCGGGTTATTATTTTTTGCAGACTGTTAGAGCAATTTTATAAAAGTAAGCTTGAACTTTCGATTATGTAAATAGAATTTCTGATATATATTTACTAATATGTAAAGGATCTACAAAGCGAAAGTATGTTTCGAAGTCCATTAAACAAAAAGTGGAATTCCTACAAAAAATGGATAAAGGCATATCCTTTGTTTATCTAACCATTCCGAAATCTGTTTATCAATTTCACGCAGCTCTGTTGCGGAGGGGGGGGGGGACCCGCAGCACGCAATGAATTGGAAGTTGATCTGTCAGCACTATCCTTATCTTCAGAGCATATGTTTTTATTTTATTTGGCTTATAATTCCTTACTAAATGTAGTATTTCATCTCGATGTACTCCGTCTTTAATATGATTTAAATCAAATTCCTCGTCATTATAATTTGCTTCCGATAGCAAAGAAAGTGACACAGAGATTATTGAAAACGAAAAAATTTTGATTGACAAATTAGTCGGTATTCTCGACACAGCAATTATAGGACTTGAACAGCGGAACTTTGTAACTGAACAAGAAATTATGTCTGTTTATAGAATTTAAGAGAAAGTATTATCACATAAAAAACGAAGCAACTTAAACAACTTACATTGAAAGAAATGTTTAATAAAGTAAACAAATAAATATTAAGCTTTTTTTTTGTAAATTTTGATACCCTTTGGATCATAATTGTTCTTTATTTCATAAATTATGGTTTTGTATTTTTAATTTTATAATTTCTGCATGCCATCTTAGCAGATTTAAACTGATGATCTATAATCTGGAAAAATCGATAATCCGGAATCGCCGAAGTCCCGACGAGTCCGGGTTAACAACTTTTGACTGTATATATAATGTTGTTGTAGACTTAGGTGTAACAATGTAGGAAAGTTGATTTGGTAGAAATTGAGATCCCTTATGAACAGCAGCCAAGGCAGATTAAATATTCATTTTTATTTCCTGTGACATTTATGGCCACAATTCGCTTGGCACTCTAATCATACCTGTTTCAAAACATTTACACTTTTATATTATCACAATAGGAAGGATGAATTATCTGTATCGTCATTACGTAAAAGTCATGCGATATGGATTATTCTAGAAATGATGCAATCCAGGAAAGTCATTGCTATTTTTAGAATAGACTGGGGAAGTACCCAATTAAAATCAGGAATTAGGGACTACTGCTAATTTAGATTTTAATCTTGATTTACATAACTTTTTATCTTGTGTGTGTATAATATATGTATTTCAATCTTAATTTATTCCTCGCATGATATCCAACTAACTGTTTAATGAAGCATTATTTAAACATTGCATAATATTATCTAAATCAGCATTAATGCATTAAATTCATTTGTAGAAGAAATTTATAAAAATGAACTGTTATTGTTTAATTAATTTTCAAATATGCATTTATTATTATGTGCTTATTCACATTAGTGTAGAATCTGGAAAACATCTATATAATATTTTGTAATTCAGCAATTGTCAGGATTTTTTTTTTTAAAGATTATTTGTGTTTGCAATTATTTTTTCTTTTCTGTTTTTATTTTAATAACAATTAATGAATGTTTGAAAAGTAAATAATTTCTTAAGACTACAATAATCTAGATGAAATTCTATATTTTAAAAAATGTGCTCTGCTTGCTTTTAATAAGAAATTTTTTGGGAAAAGTCTTTTTTATTTCAGTTGGAATTGAATTTATTATTATTTATTGCTTTTGTATACATATACATATGTATATACAGGGTGATTCTAAATTGTTTTTATAAATTAAGAGGGGTGATAGTATTCATCCAGATGAGCAATATATACCATAAAACACAGGGTCGCATTCCGCTCTGAGAAGCAGAAAAGAGGAATGTTAGAATTCCAACCTGCACTTACAACAGTGTTGGGAAAGCGAATGAATGAGACCAAAGGCTGCACAATCAGTTTAGTGAAAAGCTCACAGAAAGTGCACAAAATGGATAAAACCGAAAGCTTGGCGTTTGAATGTTAATTCGAGCTCAGACTTTGATGGCAAACTCTCAAATGCATATCTTTGGTTGACATGGTGTCAACCTCGCAAACGATTGCAACAAGTTAATTATCTAATCAAGTGCTGAATATTATCAACTAACTCCAACTTCGGCTGTATGCTGAGATTAGCATGAAAAGTTTATGCTGTGTTCCCACTGTCAGAACTTCGTGTCCCATAGAAAGGTGCTTCAAGTAGAATGAGCGCAGCACAATAAGTCCAGGATGACAGGCTAGAAGGTGGCAAAGGGGAAGAAAACTGCTACCTTGATACTTAATATGAAAGTAGAAGTTTTTTCCCCTAATAAATAATTTCCCCCTAAGAATTTAGATAATTAACTTGTTGCAATTGTTTGCAAGACCTTGGCAACCAAAGATGTACATTTTAGTGTTTGCCATCAAAGGCTGAGCTCGAATTAACACTTGAATGCCAAGTTTTCAGTTTTATTCGTTTTGTGCAATCTCTGTGAGTTTTTCATGAAACTGATTGTGCAACTTTTGGTCTTGTTTGTTCACTCTCCCAACACTGTTTAAGTTCAATTTGGAATTCTAATATCCCCTCTTTTCTGCTTGTCAGAGCGGAATGCGATCCTATGTTCTATGGTAGTATTGCTCATCTGGATGAGTACTTTCACCCCTTTTAATTTGTAAAAACAATTTAGAATCACCCTGTATACACATACACACACATATACATGGAGAATAAAACATGCAGTGATTCATATTTTTGAAGCATTATCAGTTGCTTCCATTAAATTTATAAAGAAAGGTATAAGCAGACAGTATGACTTTTTGACATATAAAATTAAGCATTATGTAAGGTTAAAAAATAATGTACATTTTACTATGGTGAATGAGGAACTATAGTCCTTTTTGTTGTAAAATTCACTTTTTGTTATTTGCCAACTATTTTTATTAATCATTATTTTAATATATGTGAATAATCACTTTGGGGAATAAATACAGTAATAAATAAAGTAAATATACTAAGTTTTCATTGATATTTATATGACTCCTTTTCAGATTCCCCTAACATTAAATTGGTCATTAACCCTCTCACTGCGCATCCTGCAATTTCCACGGGCAACGTAAAAGTAGCAAAATTTATGCAACCCATGATTTCTGCGCGGATGAATTTTTGCCATCTATTTAACTGTGCAACCCGCTCTTTCCTCGTTCAAGGTTTCCTTTAGGATTTTCTGTGATGTTTAATTGTTTATTTAGATGTGGGCTAACAGATGGCGTTAGTTGTCCACATTTCTGCCAAATATACAAGATTATGTAATGTAGCATTTTGCGTGCACTTTTCAGAGTTCAAAGATGTCTGGCAGTAAGCGTTTCGCGAGTGATATGACCTATATTCCTGACGATATTTCCGACATTGATAGTAGTTCTGACTCTGATTTTAAGTATATTGAAGATAGTTATAGTGAAACTGATGAGAATTTCTTGGATTCCTCTGCGATAGGGATGAATCTGAAAATTCAGATTCTATTGAAAATGTTTGACAGTGGTGCAAAATTGATATGCAAAATATTACATTATGCAAATATTTTCATTAGTATATGTGTTACCTTTGTATTTTATAAAATAAATCATAATTTAACCAATATTAATTTTCAAAATTTTCCTTTTATATCATTATTCTTCAATTTCAGTATTCTGACAACCTTTTTCTATGATCTAATTCTAGACTAAAAAAAAAAAAAAAAAAAACTCTTTTACAAAAAATTTTTGTATGTTTTAACTCTAAAATATATGTAGATTTGAAATATGCAATAAAAAAAATACGTAATTTTTGAACCTATTTTGATAAAAAAAAGTATGCAGTGAGAGGGTTAATTTCAAATGTTATTTTTTTAATGTTTTTAAAATATGAAAATCAGTCCTTTTTTATGTTTGAAATTACGTATTTTTCTTACCTTTTGCATGTCATTTAAAATTTTTAATAGTATTCTTTATAAGTTTATTATATTTCTACAATACGAAATGTCCATGTTAGAATTGTTTTATTATAAGCATATATTGTTTAGCAATTAGAACTCATAAAATGCATGTTATTAATATCAATTCCAGTTGTTTTTAAATGTAATGGTACAAATCACATGGCATTTGCTGAACTGTCCAGTCGATAGACTTATTAAATTGATATTCGATACTGAAAGATGCATGTTATTGTTAAGTATCTGGCAGTCCACATAATAAATTGATTGGGAGAGCACAAAATCCAGTGCTGAAAGAATTTGTAAATGAATGTGTAAGTTTGCACTATAAATGCAATTTTATTTTTTGCATGTTAACATTTTAAACTGGAAGTGGGTTTGTTTTCAAACATCAGAACTGTGACAAAGATTCATTGCCTTTTCAACTGTCTGAATTCCACTTTCCCTTTGTTGCTACTTTTAGAAAACAAATTGTAGAAAAGTGAGAAGCAGGTTCTCTCCAAGGCAATGGCAAAGAGGGGCTCACAAGATATGTTGTAAAATTAACTCTTAGTTTCCATGATTACTTTCCTCCATTTTTCTAGATGTATAAAAGTATCTCACAGATAAACCATGTTGTTTGAAGTGTTAAAAGTTCTCTAAAATGCTTAAAGCATTATACTTTTGTGCATAATATGTTTCTGAAAATTACTTAGGCCAAAAATCTTTTAAATTGTTATATATATTTCTGAATATTTGTATATAATCAGATGTTTTTACAATCATGTATCTGTTTTAAGTTGCTCAAGTTATTGCTTTATTTATCCCTCCCAAAATTTATGCATTTTCTTACTATATATATATATATATATATATATATATGTGCATGCTAAATATTTATTTAAAATACATCAAAGTTTTTGTTTTATGTTAGGTAACATGTAGGAAAGAGCATTTGTTGAGTCATCAGTTATGTGAAAGTTTGCTTATGCACAAGTGGAAAAATTATGGTCGTTATGTGTACTATAGCAATCTTCTTATCTTTGTGTTATTTTTGATTGCTCTAACTGGTTATGTAGTATCATCTACCCCACCTTGTCCTCTAGATGCAAGTGAAGAAAATGACCCAAAATGCTGGTAAGTGTTATAAAAATAATAAAAGAATGTGGTTTATAGGTTATTTTCTTGCAAGATTTAAAAAAGAAGTTTTGTGTTTTTAGTTTGTTTTATATTTTTATGTATGTATATGCAATTTTATTTTCATATATGAAATATTCTAATTAAAAGTGCTGTATTTTCAGTTCAAGTGTTTACCTCCCTCATGTTATTGGTATTCTTTTTATAGATCTTTTGTCACACATGACGTAGCTTTGTGCACAAACAAATTCATACTTATTGATGGTTAATGGGTTTTATTGCATCATCTAATATTTTAGTTACAAGAATGCTACATGTCTGTGAAAGTTTGAATATGACCTTTATTAAATGATGGTCCTTCTGCATCACACATTCTTTTAGCAGTAGTGGATATTTATTAAACAGTTTAACAAATCACCAGTAATAGTAATAACCAAGAAGGTTACAATAAATGAATTAATGTCCTGTGCAATGAAAATGAAGCCATGAAATGTCACCGTATGATGTCACGAAGTTTCATGGCTGCTGCCATAGGCTAACTTCTGGTTGGTTTTTGTTTACATCCTAATCAGTGTTATCTACATCTTAAGTATTCATTATTGTACTTTTGTAAGTCTCCATTCTACTTTTAATACTTAACATAAATTATTTTCTACTTAGTGATAAAAAAAGCACAAGAATTGCAAATAACTGTTTCAAATTTAATAAAATCTAGACACATGATACATAATTATAAGGTTCACTATACATGGTAAAACCTAGAAGACCAGTGAAAGTTTCAATGGTATTTTTGCAAACTATGCCTAATAACACTTTTTGCTAAGCCTGTAGACATTGTCATTTGTTATAAAAGTCAGTGCAATTTTATTAACAGTGTGTTTCATAATCTTATCTGTACGAGGTACTGCAGCCATGATAAGTTGTGATGTAATGTTGCTGACATCTGTTTGGCTTCAGTTTTGTGATGTCATGCTTACTCCATCTATTCTAACCTGGGTGGTGGTAACTGTAATTCATTATAGTGGCATGAAATGTTTCAAAAACTTTTTGGAAGTGCCTCTAAGGTGTTGAATATTTTATACCTCCTAATGTCACGAGATGCAATGATTAATATGATTTCCTTTCCTTTATTAGCTTGTGTTCTTCTCTCAGAGCGTTAAATGACATAATCTGTGTTTTGGGCAATCTGCCAACTTTAAGCTCTGAACTTTAGTTATAGAGTCATAGTAATGTTGATCGCTGCTGTATTGTGATTGCTTACTTTTCCATTCCCTTAATAAACGCTGTTATCCTTGTGATGAAGGTATATTCAGTTTATTTTATATATAACATAAGGAGCTATAGAATCATTTTCTTTAAACTAGATGATGAAATAGTAGAATTGTTATTCTTGATATAAATTTCAGTAACAAAATAGGCCCGATTTCTGTGTTGAGTAAACAAGAAAACTAGTGACTCATTATAAAGTAGTGTTACATCATCTAGCACACACTAATGCATGCCATGTGTTACAGGGGTTGAAATATGCTATCAATGTTTGTTTAGGCTACATTTTCAAAACTAGATAGCAACCACAGGCAGATGCAAATGTGAGAGTAAAAAAAGATCATGTGTTGCCTAGGTGATCGTCCATTGCATTGATAATCATGCGTTGGCTTGGGGATCTTCTTTTAGTTTTCACTATTCTTTCATTATTCAATTAATATATTTTCATGAATACAGTCTGCTTGAAATTTTACTTATTTACATACGTTCTTAGATTATTTATTGGTCTGTCAGAGCAGGAGGACCTATGTATTTGTGAATTTTAAATTTATTATGTGGTGTTGTTCAACAAAATTCACTTAATTCTGATTCGCTGAATTAAACTCTACTGTGATTCTTTCAGTTAATGGTGAGTTCATGTTCTACTGTGATTCCTTTCAAATTGTGGTGAGCTAATGTTTTTTACTGTGATTCTTTCAACTTGAGGTGAGTTCTTAATTTCTTTAATGCCATTTGTGCATTTAATTAATTTACAGCTCACAATTTATTTAATACCATTTCCTGCATTTAATTGGCTTATAGTTCATAATTCTTCTCAACTCGGTGGTTCCAAGACAGCTGCCTTCAGCAGATTGCAATACTTAAAGAAGTCCTTATCTTTCAATGGTAAAAAATATGAACAATATAAAGACTTTATGCATGAATATCTGTCATTAGGACATATGGAACTGATTCCACAATCTGAGTCTACAAAAACAAATGCATACTACCTTCTTCATTTTGTTGTTCTTCATGATTTGAACACTACAACAAGGCTGAGAGTTGCCTTCGATGGCTCTTCCAAGTCATCATCTGGACAATCTCAGAATGATCTTCTAATGATAGGTTCGTAAAGACAGGATGAGTTATTCACTATCCTTATTCGTTTTAAGTTTTTAAATTGGAGTGAGTGCTAATCTAGAAAAAATGTTTAGACAAGTCAAGGTTAATTCTAAGGATACTGGAGCCAGTTAGAGAATACAGATTACTTACAGTCACCTATGGCATAACATCAGTGCCATTCTTGTCCACAAGAGCTATGCAGCAATTGGCTTCAGCTGAGAAAAACAATTTTCCTTTTGATTCACATGCTAACCCGAACAATTTCTATTTTATGATCTTCTGAGTGGAGCTTCATCACAGCAAGAAGCTCTAGAGCTAGTGAATGAATTAAAGAATATGATGAAGAGAGGTGGATTCAACCTTTGAAAATGTCATTCTAATGTTGCATCAATATTTAAAGAACCACTAAATGAAGAAGAAAAAGATCTGATGCACGTTGATTCAGATGAAGAAGTTAATGTCCTTGGTATTAAATGGAATACAAAATATGACTGTTTTCATTTCGCAGTTCCACCAATTGAAGCAAATTGTAAATTTGCCAATTGAAGACAAATTTACATTTTCAAAAAGCGAAATTTTGTCAGAAGTTTTGCACGTTTTCAATCCCTTGGGTTTCATATTCCCTTGCATGATATTTATAAAAAACCTTTCTTCATGAACTGTGTAAGCAAAACTTAACTTGGAATCAATCCATTCCAGAAGACATGACAAAGAGATAGATATCCTTTCATAAAGAACTTCCTCTAATCCAACAACTAAAAATACCTAGATGTGCATTGAAAATATAAAATGTTAAACTGGAAATTCATGCATTTTGTGATGCTACTAAAAAGGCTTATTGCAGGGTATTTTACATGAGATCTGTTTCAGAAAATTCAGATACAAACATTTCTTTACTCACCTCTAGAACAAAGGTTTCACCTCTGAATACTCAATATCTGCCACATCTAGAATTTGGCTTTATTGCATACAGTCTTAAGAGACTTTCCTTTACCAGTTAAAGGCATCATAGCTTGGACAGATTCAATGATAACGCTGGCATGGCAATCTTCTGAACCTTATCACTGGCAGCCATTTGTCGCAAATCAAGTGCCCAAGATTCAGACTATGATTCCTCAAGCGAAATGGGGTCATGTTTCAGGAATCAGTGATCTGGCAGACCTAGGTATCTTACCTTCTCAATTAGATGAAATAGAGAACTTTCCATTTCTAGAGACACTCTCTCTCCCTAAAGTTGCCTTGAAAGAAGAAAAGAACTGTTTTAATATCAGTGTTTTAGCAGTTCCAAAACCTGCTATTATTTTAAAATATTTTTCATAGTCCAATTTACTTAGAGTCTTAGTCTGGATGATATGTGCTCGATTTTCCATTCAAAAAGTCTTCAACAAATGTGTTATCTGCCGCAGATATAGAGCCAATCTTGCCACACAAATCACGTCCGTTTTCCCTGTCTAATGTGTTACATAACTAGACCATTTTATCGTATTGGTGTTGTTGCAACTCTCAGGGCTACAACGTGCAGGTTACAAATTAAATAATCACAGCAGATATTATTAATATAAAGATTTTAATATGGATGTCTCACACAAGCAGAAAATGTTGCATTACTCTAACTAGTACATACATATAACTGAGTGAAATGGGAATTCCCCACTTAGTTTGCAGTTAAAGAAAAAATAAGAATAATGAAAAATAGTCCAATCAAAAGTGGCACTCCTTCTGTCGACTTCACCCAGCCGTTACATAATCGTCTGTCTGAAGCAGCCATCTCCTACATTCTCCCCCTTTTTGAGTCGTCTTCAGGTTGGCTCAAAGACATACAGTACCTGGTTGAAGAGATCTAATTTCTGAGCCACCTTGATCACATGTCCAAATCTTGACACTTTAGCACCTTGCAGGATGTTACTAGAGTCATTAGAATCTGAATGCTCATCATTAGATATAGAAGAAATAGGATTAGTAACAGTGTTATTGCGTATGGGATCAGTGGGGGTATCCGTTAACTGCACTTCCAATGGAAAGACTCTCTGAATGGGGTGAAGCAGTGTACCAGCTTGAGTCTTCAGTTCTACAGTTCTCACCTTCCCATCTTTCCAAGAATTAGTCGAATCACCTTAGGTAAAGGCCAGTGCATCCGTTTTTTGATATCATCTCCTATTAGGACAATTTCACGCAACCGTAGCTCTGACGATGGACCCTTCTTATTTTGGAACAGATGGCCTAAATATTCTTTCCTAAATCTATGCGCTAAATCATTAAGTAGTTTTTAGCAATGTCTAGCCCTTTTTTGAAGACCTTTTGAATCGCAGAAATCAAGATCAGGAACATCTAAGCTATCTAAGATTCTCAATGAAAAACATGGTTGGGGAAAGTGGGATTAAATCATCCGAATTTTCGGACAGATAGGTAAGAGGTCTAGAGTTAATTATTGACTCACAGTCACATAATACTTTTGTACAACTTTTTACCTCAGAGGTTGTGAGCCAACCGCATAACTGGGCATGTCCTGTCTCAACATGGATTCCTTTACTAAGCCAGGAACAAACCTCTCCTCACTAAGAGAGAATCGGAAAATGAACAAGGGGAACTGCCTCTTGAAAGTGTATATTTGCCGGGTTTAAATCACTTGGTAC